CAAGCTCCTTGAACAAGGGCATGAATAGTATCATTAAATAAGCTACGTTTCAGAGTAACGACACTTGGGCATGTTGTGACTTAAAATCATGGTTGCCAGATATCTGAAGCTTTATCTAAAATCACAAAAACGCTTTTCCGTCCTCCACAAATGTTTAAACAGTCCGCGACAGAGCAAAGCAATATTGCATCAGCTTCCTGACACCGGATCTAATGCTGAGGAAGTCGCACTTTTGAATCATGACGATCGGCAGTTGCATTTGCTCTGCACAAGACCCATAATGGCGGCCTTCACAACACTGTCGGGGTAGAGAGTGCTGATACTCTAAACGCAGCTCATTTATTGGCTCTAGTTCCCGCAAAACTCCTTTTCCCTGACTGAAACTGAAAATAAATATGAACAATACACCATTATTATAGCTTATTTAGTTATAACCAACTACACATAATGAGAGGAGGAAGCGGCTGGGTAGGAGAAACGCGGGTTTTAAGTGCGACCGTTCTAACCGTCTCAAAAGAGAGAACGCGCGAGCTTTCGCTGGTTTAAAAAAGGCATCCAAAGAAAAGAGGCGGCACGCTGTGTTCTTTGTGTTTATGCGTCTAATTGCAAATTGTTGTGTGTATGTTTATACAGCCGGAAGTTAGTCCGCCTCATTGGGCGTCTAGTGTCTCAGCTGCAGATGAGCAATTTAGCCAGTGCCGTGCAACCGAAAACCTGGGGTCTTTAACGTGCACCACGCAGTAGGGATACACGACCGCACGCCGGTACGATGCTCTTCCAGATCGAAACGGGCAGGGGCGGGGAGGGTTCTGCAGTGGTCCGAGCTGGTGTGCGCTAGATCATGCACTCGGCCACCGACCCCCCCCCCCCCCCCCCCCCCCCCCCCCCCCCCCTTTGTGCGTCTAATTTATATACAGGTATAAGTATTTGAAGATCGACGATGGACGTCGATGGTCTCGAGGTAATGTAACGTAATAACATTATATAAATAATAAGTTTCTTGAAGGACTGAACGACTCAATTTTTCAATTCTTGGATTGTAATATGGCGGCAGCCTATTGTACTTACTGTTGATGAAGAGCAATATGAGGTGACGAGGTAATGATTAAATGATGAGGCTCTATAAGGACGACGACATTAGTGGGTGTCGAACCACAACGTTCAGTGCCTGACTTGTTTCAAGTATCGTGTACCCAAAGACTTTCTTCACCCGTAACAGAATATGGTAGAATCAATGAGGATGCTGCTTTACAACTGTACGTGGGACAGAAAAACTGCACTGTGCAGAAGCGCGGCTTATTCGTTAATATGAGGGACGGAGTTCTAGCAGCATTCCCTGATTGACTACTTGAAACAAATGGCCTCGTTGACGTAAAGTGTCCCCGTTCCAAAAGATTCTTGAAGCATACTTAAACCGCAAAGGAGTATGAGGCAAAAAATAAGAAAAAGGAGCCTGGTGTGAAAGGTCCAAATCACCACCGTAGCTTCTACTACCAAATACAAAGGCAGTTACACAATACACAAAGAGAGTTTTGTGATTTAGTTATATTTACACTCAAGGGCATTGATTGATATCCAACGTATTCAGAGGGATGACACCTTCTGGTCAACTAATATAGAGCCTTTTCTACTCAAGTTTTACATGGAAGGCCCGACTTCCGCTGAAATTCCTTACGTAGACGAGTTGTCCGACCGAATAAACTGCCATTACTCCCGATCTGGGAATCTCTCGATCTTCGTTCGTAGGATCATCATATCAAGGGGTGTGGCTCTTCGTCCGCCGAATATTGCTTCGGTGGGTGTTTTTACCGTGTAATATGAGACCGTCGCGTGCTGCTGGAACAAGAACCTGGCGATTCTTCACTGAACTGCTTCTTCCGTAAGCTTCAACAGGGCTTTTTTTCGTTTCGCACACCATCTGTTCTGCTTGCCCGTTAGTTGCAGGATGGTATGGTGCACTAATGTGATGCCTGGTGCCGTTTTGTTTTGTTCTTTCTTTCTTCAAAAACTTGTTTATTTTATTTGAAGCAAGATTTGGCGCGTTATTAGAGAAAAGTATTTTCGGTAGGGCAAAAGTGGGTAAAAGAGACCGTAGAACGTCAATGACGTGTTTGGACGTCGTGGCAGGCATCGTGTAAACTTCCAGCTACTTAGAGCACGCATCGACCATGACTCCGAAGATGCGGATACGTTTCGCCACCCACCGACTGAATAGTGGATCGTTTTCAGTTACTGTTCGTGATGGCGTTGGACTCAACGAAGACTTCGAGACTTTCCAGAAAGTTTCTGGGAACTATATCGTAACAACCTTTACAACATCTTCCGGACCCCGTGAAACACAATAGTTCGTGACGTTATTTTAGTCGTCATTAAAATGGTGAGGTGAGTACTGTAAATCCCGAAGCAGTTTAGTTGACGTCCGCTTCCACTGGCGTCTTGGAAGATTGAGTCTACTGAGCGTGCATTCCTGCAGAGGAAATTTTTATTGATAGAATATTGACACGTCAATCAACATTTGATTCCTTCTTGGTAAGATTTATTGCGAAAGCCCGTTACACCCGCCGAACCGCATCTCCCTATATCAGAGAACAATTTATACCCAGCCTGACATTCTCGCATACATCCGTTTGCTGGGCCACGCTACTTGAGCTAGCTGAGCACAGCTGGCAGCGGCGCGAGCAAGGCCACGAGGGGAACGTGATGGTGCTCGAGCCATCCCACTGTGAACCAATGTTTCGGCCACCCCACGGGTGCGTGTCGCCATCTATTGGTTGAACTAACGCCTTGTTCAAGATGGCTGCCGTGGGACCGCAGCTTAAAGGGTGAACAGAGTATAAGAGCGTAAGCGGGTAGTTTTGAGTGGTGCTCCCGCTGCAGGAGCGGTCCTACAACCGAGGTGCAATAAAGTGTGAGTAGCTTGGGCTTGTTAGCTCTCGCGATTAATGTTAGGATTAGACGAAGTATAATATTGTGCCTGTAAGTCCAGTAGTCATAATGTGATCAGTCTAACAAGCGTGGAGTGATTTATCGTAAATAAAACCACCAAAAAAGGAAATTTAACATTACGGTCAACACGGCACAAAGTTTGTTGTTCTATCTTTTCGTTATTAGAAGTATCAACTACATGGGAAGAGTGAAGGAATACTGGCAGACGGCAGCGCTGACTTTGGATTGCAAACACGCAGTCACACTGTCCATACATCATACAAAAGACACGGTGTTCGCGTCAGGCATCATGGCAAGATTATCTGCGTGCAGACCTCGAGCTTGCTCGCAGCATGTTTGCTTCATAAATATGCACGCTTTGGTCATGTCGGCGGACAGTGTTTGTACGGCTTGTGTAGCAGGGCCTTCATACAACGAAAAAGCGTTCTTGAGGCAGTTCCTGCGGACTGTCCTTTGTATGATGTCTTCGCAGAGTGACCTCTGCTGTAGTCAGGGCTGTTGTCCGCAAGGTTTTTTTACTCCGTTCGTGTCACTGAGCTGTTTGTATTTTGAAAGAATGGCCCATAGAGCGCCGTTTTTTTGTTTTTTTTTTTGTTTTTTGTTTACGTTACCAAACTTGCGTACGCTTAAGTCGAGATGCGACAGAAGGTCACCGGCAGATCCCTGCCTTGTATGAAGCGTTGCAGTCAGTTAAAGAAGTGGCTTGGCAAGCGGAATACGGAACATGAATGTGCGGGTGACTTGCGGTCGTACTTCGTGGTAAGCGTACGTTAGTTTTGTAACTTACGAAAACTGTGCTGTGTGAGCCAGCGTGCAAAAATTTGTGAAAGTCACATATGGCTTTGTAAATATTTCATAGCTGGTGCAGTCATTTGCGTCGGATTCGTTTACAGCGACCATAAAACCAACAACAAGAAAGTTACCAAGAAAAAAGTGCTCGATATTCTGTGCGGCAAGTATTCCGAGATGTAGCTATAAGAAGCAATTACGATGCACGGTTCTCCCGGTGAATCCATCGTTGTTATCGTTTCGGCTGTTGCGAACGCAGCCAACGATGGTGACTGAATACAGCGAACTTATGAAGCTTCGTCGAGTGCGTGACGCCGCCATGACTTTAGTTCACAGAGCTGGGTTATCGTACAGGCGAAAAACAAAACAAAAAAAAACTACCGCATTTTTACGTGGTGAATGATGTTGATTGGGGCATTGGGGCGAAGCTCTGGTGGTGCTTATCTGCGTAGACGCTGAGCCGCAGCATGCCGAGCTTTTCGTTCGTTTTTATCCATGTCACGCTGTGGTCAAATGCTCAAAGGCGTATATAACCACCTTCCATACAGCACATTCTCTTTCTGACATGGATGAACATGAACGAAAGGCTCGGCATGCCGCGGCTCACCGTCTACGCAGACAAGCGCCACCAGAGCTTCGCCCGAATCAACATCATTCACCACGTGGAGATGCGGTTGTTTTTTTCTGCCCTACACGAGCACGGGAGCACGTGCTCACGTGCTCGTGAGCACTTGAGCTCACGAGCAGGAGCCCGTGCACCCGACGGCGGGCGGACATACGGACAGGGCTAGCCCCTAAAACGTTTTTGGTCTCCCGAGCAGCTTGGAGCGTTGCACTGCGCAAGCAGACAAGTTCTGCACATGCACAGTGCGACACCCCGAAGTGCTTGGTTAAGTTATCTCGATGTATAACGGCGGTGGTTGCGTGACACAACTATCTAATGAGATCGGTCTAGTAGGTTCAATAAAGACCCCTGAAGTGCTGTGTTAGTCTTACTAACAGAGTTCCAGGTGCCGCATTTTCTTCCAGGAGCTGCAGCACCTGGAAGAAAATGCGGCGTGGCACAAAAATGAGACATCTTTCGTAGCAAACGGGGACTGAGCGGTCCCTCATTGCGTATGTCTCGCATATTTGTAGACAGTGGTTGTCAGTACTTGCAGGATATGCGAAGTGTCACTTTTATCAAGGAACCTAAAAAAAACAAAAACAGTTGTGAGACAAACGTTGCGAGGAAGAGTTAACCAAATGTACTAGTCATTCCTCACGCATAAAAGGAGAATATGATGATGGCCGGCAGCAGCAGGAGGGCAGACACCGAATGTAGAATGATGGAGAGTCCGACCATGAATTTGTGGTTCTGAAAGGAAGGAAGAAAGCAAAATGTCTTAAACTGAGATTCTCGGGCGGAGTTAGTGAGGAGGTAAATATAATGAAAGGCAAGATAGCGGCTCCGTTAGCAAACGACAGAGTTGTCCCCAATCTTAGAGGCCTGCCAGCTTGGCAACATGGAGGCACTGTGCCTTTAAAATCCTCTGGCAAGTCAAAAAAATAATATTTAATGTTAGGCGTTGAATAGGTGCATCAAGACGTCACCGAAAATTGTTTCATTTTAGAGTTGCGTAGTTTTTTTTAATGAAAAATAGAAATACGAAGCCCAATTCAAAGTGCCCGCCAGTGCCCTGTGACGTAACAATGTACTGCAAGGTGTCGGGGCGGTCAGAAAGGAGACATCGACCTACGTCACAAAACGTTGGTTCGCCGGAAGTCACTGAAGTTTCACTCCTCGTGCTCTCTGCGGTCGTGCCAAGACTTTTTTTATTCCGTTTTTTTTTTTTTTTTACGAGTGATTGTAGAAAATGAAATTTTAGTTCCACTAGCCTTTTATCGCTGCACCGTTGGTTAGTTTACGTGTGGTGAAATTTGAGGACGAAGCGTCAGTGGATTGACGTGATGGAGGTCAATGATGAAGGTGTTGCCAATACAAGCCGGTGTACGAGTGCATGCCATCAGTCCGACGGTACGCAGCCATACTGGGAACAAAACAAGCAATCGAGTTTCGAAAAAAATAAAATTTAAAACGCTCACAGAAATTAGGATTGCTAGCCTAAGACAAGCCCGATCGCTTTGCTGAAGTTTCAGACACCGAGGTCGTCGAATCATCGAATACTCTCCAGGCTGAAGATGCCTGCTGCCTAGAGAATACAAACTGTTGAGTGTACCAAGTACAAGTAAACGTCGAGCATAAAGTAGCTACGTGTTTTGTCTAGAACATGAGTAGAACTTGGTTACTATTAGCCCCGTGCGCGACCGAAAGCGTCGCTGTGGTCGGCCTTCCACGATTGGCCGAACGCTGACTATGACGTAGGAAAGGGGATTTATCATCGACGGAAATAAGAGGAATGAAAGAACTTTAATTTTGACGGTGTTGGCAGTGTTGCTTTAAGAGCTCAATGATTTCAAGCTTCCACCATGCTATTTACGAACACCATCGAACTTGTTGTTAGCAAGGTAATGACGTAACAAGGGGGAACCATAGGAGGGCGCCACCAAAACATCTCGCCGCTAATATAGCTTTACTGACTCCTCTTCTTCTGCCTTTACAGCAACATTAAGCGATGAAAATCAAATAAAAGAAACTTTGCCTGCTTGGATCGCTCGCGGATGTGCGGAGTATAACAAAAATATAACACATATTACACGCGGTCGCGGTAAACACGAGGAGAAATACAACTCACGTGACTTCCGGTGATGCCTCCCTTCTGACTACCCCGACACCTTGCGGTGCATTGTTACTAGTGACGGGACGAATCTTTATCCGAATAAACATTCGGAGCCAGCTTCTCGATGCAGGTTGAAAGACTCAGAAAAGCCAGCTATCCGTTACCACTACTGGCTAATGTGGCGGACACCTTGTTGAAAAGGGCAAAAAGCCTCCAAGCCAACAAACAAGATGTAGGAAAGACAAGACCGGTGGTAATCCCGTACCTTCACAAGACGTCACACAATTTAAAGAACGTGGCAAGTCGGTATGGGGTCCGAGTGGTATTTTCAACCCCGCAAAAAATGAGCAAAATTTGCTCCATAGTCAACTCGCAAGCCGAAGGTGCCACAAGGCAAAGGTGCACAAAAAAACATGCTAAACCTTTTGTTCCGTGCACTTCAGGCGTCGTATACAAGATTCCACTCTCGTGCGGCAAGATCTACGTAGGGCAAACAGGCAGGTGTCTTAATGACCGACTTCGCGAGCATGATTATTCTTTGAGAGCCACAGTGGGAGGCCATCTTGCAACACATTGCAAGGAGTGCGATTGTAATCCGCTGTTCGGGGAAACAATAACCCTAGAGAGGCACAAGGATAAAATGACCCGCGAAGTGGTAGAGGCCTTCTACATCATATCCGCAGCTACTAAATGCATTAGTGTTGCATCGGTGGCCTCAACACGCAAGGAGACAGACTTTTTAACACGGACAATGCAGAACTCGCATGAGTCACGGGTGCCGCGAGACATCAGACACGACGGCCCAGCGGCAGCCGACCATGGATGATGTGTTCGTCTTCCCCTCCGACACGGGTGACCGGGCGCGAGCGAAGACTGATGCAAACACACCCTGCACCACGACAACGAAGGCACAGCCAACAAAGGTTTTAGGGTTTAATCAAAGAACCAGTGTATCAAGCCTGTGCGCGCGAGGGAACACCCGACTTTGTGTTTTACATTCCTGTTTTATATTTCTGCTTCCTCTTCTTCCTTTTTCATCTTTCTGGGGAGCTGGACGATGTTCTTTCTTTTCTTCATCTTTGTAAATACAGTTGTGAGTAGCGCTCTTTTCTGTCCCTTCTCTCTTCCTCATACGTGTGCGCTAATGCCGTTAATATATTTATTGTGTGTTGCGCAAATTTATGTATAATACCCATAGCAGTTCGCTACATTTTAGCGATCACGGCGAAACCGCACAGAAACCGAGACCGTGGATTGGTTAGTCCTACGTCACCGACACCGATCAGCTCAGCTGGTCCTGGGAGCGTGCCAGGGTTTAGAACGAGAGTACAGTATATACCATACGTTGAAATAAACAAGACAAAATCTGGTTATATAATGTAACAGTACCTGAAAAAAAACACAACTAACCGCATTCGCGAGGTTTACGACAAGGTTTACGCTGCCGTCTGCAACCGGCGACGAATCTCCGAATCTGCCGAATATTTGTCGCGGGAAGTTCGGGAATTTCCGAATCTGTCCGAATCCGAATGTCCGGTGATTCGTCCCATCACTAATTGTTACGTTACAGGGCACTGGCGGGCACTTTGAATTGGTCTTGGTATTTCTGTTTTTTACTAAGACAACTACGCAACTCTAAAGTGAAAATATTTTTGGTGATGCTCTGATACACTATTTTAACGCTTAGCATTAAAAAAAAAATTGGCGTGTCAGACGGTTTTTAACCTTCTTTCACGCCTCCAGCGACAAGCTCGGGAAACGCAGCTGGCTCGCTGTTTCTACGCATCTCCTGGTATAGCAGCAGGTCGTTGCGAAGTGGCAATGATGAAGCAGCCGTGCCTGAGCCATCAGATAAAGATTGGCGTTTTACTAAGGCACAATCAAGCTTTTCACAACATACGACGGTTCTGAACTTATGAGAAGACTCGAATGACTGGCCTAATTGCAAGTCCAGAAAGAAGCCATTCTAACGAGCATCGAAATAAAGTAGAAATCCTTTTAGTTTCATACATTAGACCCATTGCAGTGCTGCTTTGAGCAGGCGGTATTCGGAAAACAGCGCCAGCTGGCTTCAAACCCTGCGTTGGCGTGTGCCATAATCATTTTCACACTGTGCAGCTTGTCGTCTTCATGACACAGTTTGTCACAGTACGCAAAGCCATTCAACAAAACGGCAAAATAATGTGGTCCGTTTATTGAGCCCCTGCAGTCGCAAAGACCGACTACATTTCCGGCAAACAAATTACCCCGACAAGCCGAGCACTGCACTGTCATATTGTAACGCCGGTAAAATAGTAACACGCTGGTGACCATGTTTCTAGATGGATAATTCCCAGCACCTTTTTTAGTTCCTTCATTTATTTTGTTTGCTCGTTTTTTAGCCGTTGCTTGAAGAAAACGCATAACATACTGCGCCAAACTAACGCAACCCATACTTTAGTAATCCTAACTTTGCATCACTTTCAAAATTCTTTCTTTAAGTAATCCCTAATTTTAATAATTTGAATGCCGGTTTCCTTTTTTTGTTTTTAATATCGAACGCAACTTGTCGTCTCGGTGACGCACTACAATGCTCAGTCAAAAATAATTCTTTATAAAACACTTAATATCTCATGAGCAAAATGTTAATTGATGTCTGTATCTCTCCAACCTAGAACATACTTCTTGTATTGTACTTTTCGTGACACGGAACTATGCAGTGGCATCACAGCCTTGCACTTTGAGATGCGAGACCGAAGTGCCACTCATAGTGTATCACCATTTAGTTATTCGTAAGTGTAACTTTCTCTTTTTCACAACCGCCGAATGCCAAGTTTATTAGTAGTTCCTAAAATTGGTGTTCGCCTTGAAGCGAAATTATGAAACACGTAGATTCGTCATTCTGTAACAAAGAAGGAGCTTAGCGAAACAAGTCTCCTAAAGACATAATATTATCGAGTGAAACCACAAGATACAAAAGCATTGTTTTCATCGCTTGTTTACACTTTCTGCTGCGCGTAAAAACATAACAGCCCAGATGGGTGGAGCAGTAAGCAAACCAAAATTGAAACCACACGGGAACGCGTCCGGGTAGACTCGGGCGTGACACTCAAAGGGTTGATGATCATTGCCATAATTTATGTGTTTTGGTAAATGTCGATGACACTTGCGTTTTGCCAATATAACCAACGACCCAAGCATTAGGGTTTCTCTGCATGCAGTGACAGTCCCAGAAAAAAAAAAAGATCAAGTAAGAAATAATACATCGGAGGAAATGACAGAAAGAGAGAGAGAGAGAAAGAAATAGAGAAATATGATTATAATGAAATGCTGAAAAATGTGCCTGAGCCCATGATTTTGACAGACTACATTACACTACCGGGAAAAAAGATAATGAAAAAAAACTTGGCAAAATAAAATAAAATAAAATGATAACCTCCTTTTCTTTCTTTTTTTGAGTGAAAGGAATGGCACTGGCCTGCACAATACAGACTATTGAAGGTATGCGAACAATCACCTCTTACTCCGGCAAATGTCATCACAGTCTGATGGTGTTAACTCAGCGATGGAAACCGAACCTGATGCCGAGCGTCCTTCGACGCATTGATTGGACACGAGGCCCTACAGAGCCCGAGACGCAGCACTCGCGTCCAATACGCGTCTTCGTTCGATCTCGCTGTCATGACGTCAACATTCTAGTGCACAGACTTTAACTATTCTAAGTGATGTTGCACCGACCCATTAGAGCCGCGGTCATACGGCTGCTATACATCATGTGAAAACACAATCGGCAAAATTGTCTGAGACGTGTGTCTTGATTGTATGACGGCCCTCTCACATTGACCATGGAAACACTGCCTGCAGACATGTTGGAAACACACATATGTGCATGAGTTAAACATGCTTCGAACAAGCTATTAAGCATGAGCAGTTTGAAGGTATGTTTCTCAGTCTGATGACGTCATCGTCGTCCAAATACCTTTGGTTATCGCATTTCACCTTGCAAGGGGATCGAAGGGCACAAAGCTTCTGCATGCAGACCACAGGACGAGCAACACCAGTGTCTCCTCACGTGAATCGCTCCACACTCGTAGATGGTGTACTCCTTGTGGAAGCCCGGGTGAACGTACCAGGTTCCGTTGTCCCAGCACAGCTTCTTCGAAAACCCTGATGTAATGAAGAAGAAAAACAAGAAATAGGGGTTACATCACTATGGGTCTTGCTCAAGTTCCACTGAGAACAATCTTGCGACGTGGAAGTCCTCTGCTATGGCGCCTGGAGCGCGTCTCCGACCCGTGCGTTTACCCTGTGCTTAAAAGCGGTCCCTCGATTTGCGACTGATGACGCTATAAAAGTGTCATGATGTTGCCTGCCGCAAACTTGGCGACTTGGTGCAGCAACGAAGGAGAATGAGGTAGACCCCTGTTTCGCCGTAGATTTCTCTTTAGATTGACAGTGCAGGGAATATTAAGCAGTCAGGAGCTTGGACGTAGTGACGTCAGCGATACGCGCGTTCGTTTTCACGTTTCGCAGGAGCTTGAACGACCAACCATCCGGTATCGCGAGACACGACAGCATGGCACGCCGGATCCTGCGACGTCATTTGTTGCGACTTTGGGATCGTTCTTATGTGTAAGTATTTATGATGTACGAAAAAGTCACTAAAATTTAAAAAAAAGATAATGGTTTGAAATGTTGTCGTTTTTTTATGGTCTCCCATTCCCCGTATATTACGCGGGTCCCGATTTCTTGCGCAATCTCTTTGCTTCTCCCCACCCCCCCTCCCCTTTCCTGGGTTTCTCTGATCCACAGCTTTTGACGCACCCTCACGTTTCAAGTTAGCGGCGAAACTGAGATTCTTAATTTTCAAAGCAAGAAATGATGTGACACAGAGTTCATTTCGTGCAGACCACGTTTACGTCTTCAACGACCTCTAAGGTGGTGATTTCTCGCCTTTAGTAACATCAGGACATGCCAATAAAAAGATAGAAGCCTTTGGCTATCTTGTTAGACTCCAGGAAAGTCGTCTTAATGCTGCAGAACTTGCTTCCTTGCCATCAATGCGGTATTTATTCGTTCTAAAACGAATTTTTGTTCGTCGGCGAAACTAGAGACTCTTTTCTTTTTCAGAACTGCAAAAAACCCTTTGATGCCTTGGTGATAAGCTTTTTGAAAAGCTACTTATGCTGAAGTGTAATTAGTTCACTTTCGAAGTTTGCAAATTTGTTTTTTGATCAGATAAACATTTGTATTACTTCAGAATTCAATGCTCCAATTTCGTGCCATATTTGATACTTGCGATACATATGATGGTGTTTGCACTGCACTACATCACTATATGTGTCTGTGGAGCATGACCTCGCTCAAGAAAAAAAAAAGTATATTTCTGTTTGAGTATTTATTTGTGTCTGTAGTAGTCCTATCTGACTAAGCGTTCGACGCAGGCGTGACGTCGCCATAACTTTAGTTCACAGGAGGTAGACGGCCTGCTGTGAACATGCGATCATGCGAGGGGTGTGCCGTCTCGCGCTCTGCACGCGCAGAGCTCAAGCGAGGTTTTCGCACGTGGAGAAGGACGGAAGTTTCCTCGATGCATTGCGGAAGTGGTAACATTGTGAAACTGCCTAGTGAGATTGCTCAATCCGAGATTCCTTTTCCCCGTCGTTACCGAAGCATTGTAGTTATTGCAAAGATGCAAGCGAACCGGATAAGAATTATGTTATTCGTGTCCAGCTCGCTTCCACCTTTGCGAAAATTGCATTATCATCATAACCTTAAAATGCAGGCCGGTCACCCTTGTTGGTGTTAGACTGGTGGCAGCTGATAAAACCCGTTTGCTCTACTGACGTCTAACTTCTGGTTAGATCAGTTTGTAGAGCGCTCCACTGCGAATGAAGAAGTCCCTGGTTCGATGCCAGGATCAGGCGGGTTTTTTCGGCCGCGCACCAGGCTCCTATATTCGCGGTCAGGTTTCCGCGAAACCGCTGTACAAGCGCTTCCCTCCTCTGTTCGGATTGCCACAGAAAGCTGACCGCGAGTATAGCTGTGTATGGTGATTTATGTTTTTCCTTTGTCCCCCTTGTTCCCCTTCTCCAAGGATTAGTATCGTCGGTTTACAGAAGTATTTGAGGGATATTTCGTCACTTAAAAGAAAAATGTATAGGGTGCGGCCGTGAGGACTAGGAGCGTTTTGGCAATTCGAATTTCAAAAGTGCATACCTAAAGATGAGCACGCAAATGCATGTTCGCAAGAAGTTTTATCTATATTTTTTTAGAACTCAAGTCAGAGGTGGTAAAATATTAAAAGAAGGGCGAAAACGGTGGTCGTGAATTTTGTATGCCCTATACCGACGGTCGTCGTCTGTACAATGGAACGTGAGCATGCTCCCAAGTGGTCATTATTCAATATTGCATTGTGAGTAAAAATTATCGTGAGTATCTTGCTCATCGCCAGCCTCTCCTACTGGTTTTTAGTGGTTTTGCGTTCAGCAAGCCACCCGGGAGCTATCTCATTAATTAGTGTGCGGACAACAAACAGGCTGGTATAGGTGATTAAAAATGCACGGCCTCCAATTTCGCTTCAATTTTAAGATTTCACTACATCACAATTAAGCCTTAAGAATAGACCTAAAACTTGTTGCGAAGCACGTTGGCGTGCCCAATTTGAGGCGCGTATTTTTAAAATTTGAATTTCGCAATCCGTGTCAAATGTGCTAGTCTTCACGACCGAACCCTACATCTGAGTATCTGTATTTTGACCATGAAATACATGCAGCTCAGTATTTGTATAGTGGAATAGCGTTTTGAGTAACTCTACCCAGCCCTGCTTCCAAGCAGGGGAGAATACTTGATTCGGTGACTACAGATAGGTCTTGGGTCTTTAGGTCACTCTTTTACTCTTAGTAACCACAAACGACCCTCTCAGGCTACGCCTTCATCTCACCCTCACACCCCAGAGGCTCAAAGTGTGGAAGGCCAGTATGGCGGGGGGAAAAAGGTGTCCCGGACAGTTAGCAGGGAGCGTCGCAAGGTAACGCTGTCAAGCTGACAACCTGGGCACAGATACCCCGACCCACGCGACAACCGAACCCAGTCCGCAGTAATCTTTAGCAAGAGTCTGTTCCCGATCAATAATTAACGCGATCCATATCCCGGAACGAGGGGCGAAAGGGGGAGGGAGAGAATACTTGTCGGCTTTTTTGGGGTGTTGCCTGGAAAACTGTCACTCACCTGTCGTCTCTCCCAAACGTGAGTACGGACCAAAAACAAAACAAAAAAAATAATAATGTAACCCCGGGTCGGTCCCTCGACAATCGCAGATGCGTCGAGGAGGGATTAATGAGAAGGGTGGGCGAAGTGCCGAGCGCAGTAGTCAAAGTGTCGCACGAAAAGATATACGGAGAGCAGTAGCCTTTTTCAAAAGTAATATCGATAACATTGTTGAAAAGGGGGAAGAGGGAAAGGGGGGGGGCGATGTTTGTGAGGCAGTAGGCGCTTTCACGCCACTGGTAACGCGCTCGTTTGGTTTACTAATAATCGGTTCTCGGGTTTTGTCGCAGTTCATTAGTGAATTAGCCGATAGTCAACGCGCCGTCCTAGCATTTCCGCCTTCGTTAGTGCTTTCCTTTCACTTGGAGTCGTCTCTCTTTCTCCCTAAAGTCCTTGGATCTTGGGAAAGTAACGTCAAGCTCCTCGTACGAGGGCAACTTTGGTTCACAGAATGAGCAGTTTTTTTTTGATCGGTAAATTCTTCGTGAACCGATCCAACTCCCCAGGGTAAGGTTGCTTTATAAAGACATTTGTTGAATATCAAGATTTTGAAATCCACATGCCTGCCAAACAAGCGCATATTCTCGCACCGCCACCACATGCGGTGACGGTGTATCACGGCATTAAAAAGATAGTTTTCGTATATCGAAATACGCGAGGACAAGGATACAATTCTAAGCGAGATGTGGAGATAAGCACTACTGATAAGTTGCTTCCGTGAAAGGTGTCGAAGACGCTTATATTGGAGAAAAACGTATTTAGTGCGATGATGATTCATACCGAACTTGGCGCGACAGCTTCAGAACGACTCTTTCGAGTGAGGTTCGGTCGTCTGTATGTTAGCGCCTGTTTGTGTCTGGTAAACAGGCTGGAAAGACAATGGTGCTACTTAGCCAGTGTCTGGGGACGTTAGTTTTCTCCTTCTAATTACCGACAGGATAAGAACGGCAGGGCTACAGCTCTTTCGTAAGCCTAGCCTCCAGCACACACTCGTTGTGCTTGAGTGCTTTCACTGCGCGCCTACGCTCGAGGCACACGAAATACCGATGCGTCATATTAATAAAATTAATAAAGTTTATTTATATATCGGAAGTTGTAGGAAGCCTGAGCTTTTTTTATGCAATTCTTATCAAAGGTTTAGGAAGCTCGCGCTGGAGGACAGACAGCTGAAAAACCTCCCCGCTGTTTTGGTAGGTGCTTCGTGGCGATATGTTGGCATGAATGTGAAAGCAGTCGTGACGGTCATAGGCATGGCATATTACTTTCTTCTCTTTTTTTTTTTTTTGAAGACGTGAAGCTTTTGTCGACGAACAAGAATTTTTTCAAAACATTTTTGTTGAACTCAATACAAGACATCAGTCACACATCTTGACAGATATCAGTGCTCCTATTACACATCAGTCGAGCAGTTTGAAATACTATAATACCTCCCTGAAAAATGTGCAGTTCGAAACCTGTCTTTTCGTGAACCAGCGCAGCTTGCGTACCAAAACTTACGCTTTTTGTACAATGGCCCCCAAAATAAATGACAAAACTAAATGTTCAGTTGTTTTGTTGTCGTTGTTGTTGCTTTGCTAAATTGATATACCTTTTGCGGAGCGCTCATTTTCGCCCCAAATGTCACGCTAGCGATCACAACCAGATGCCAAAGTTCCGGAACGAACCGTTACCTTATCCAAAAGTTGCGAGTGATTTCCTGAAATTTTCAGTGACAGAATGACGGCCAACTGATATCTCGAGTACACGGAGCTAAATGCCCCGAGTTACCGAAAACGGGCGAAAGCAGGCCCCATTTTTCCATCCAAATTTAACGCAAACAAAATCACTTATAACTTTCTTTTTTTTATATTAAAATAACATTTTTTTTACTAAACCTTGGCATCCGGTTCGTACAGCTGGCGCTACATTTGGGCGGAGAATGAGCGTTCGGCAACGTGTTATTTAGATTTACGGTTTAATAAAACAACTATAATTCCTTTTTTGGTGGGCACACAGTGTATTTGCGATTCTCTGAACGTTACTGTATCGGGTTACGCTGACAGCTTAGCAAACGCAGGTTATTATATTTACACTTCTTGCATCAAGATTCGTTCTTTCAGCGTCTACTGCCGCAAAATCATTGGCTTCGAAGCGATGATTACAGCCTCCATTGCTGACCTTCTCTTGCCTTGCTGGTGAGATGCGGAGCCGCTGAAGCGGGCGTTGACGAACCTCAACGAAAGCATATGCTGGGCAGGCGGAAGCAGTAGAATATAAAATGACAATAGCCTGTCCTGCTGGGGTAATGACGAAGTTAAGTGAACAAAATAAGGGAAAAATATAAACGAAGAGACTTAAGACTGCATACGTGTAAGAATGCGAAAGCATTCCTATAAGCAGCGCGCCACGTCTTACTTTTTCGCACGGCGCTCCGGCAGTGACATCACGCTTCACCACTGCGAAAACACGGCGCCCCGCTGGCTTTCTGCTTCCGTGACAAACAGTGCATCTGCGTTGCTGTGCTTTTCTTTGCCTTTTATTTCTAAGGCGCGTCTGCTTTGACCTTGAGCGCCCCACCGGCTTCCGTGACGAAGCATCTGCGTTTCTGAGCTTTCGGCCAATGGAAATTCAAGTGCCGTTTTCGCTGTTAACAGCGGCTACATACAACGCCGGCTTCGCTCCATGGCACGGTTAATGGCATTAAAAAAATATAATAAACGGATGGTTCGTTATGTCGGCGCCCATGCACATGTGCTAAAAAGCGTCTATAGACCGTTTCAATGGTGGCATTCTGCTGCTTTGTCTACTGAGCTGTGGAACGTCTTCTGACCATGCTTCCAAATCCACGTGACTCGGCATTTTTTGCCCGGGCGATAAGCCATAGAAAGGTGCATAGGAAGCGCTGGCGTGATGGCCTTACTCTGGCAGGGCTGCTCGACGGAGTGGTAGTAGGCGTGCGCGGGGCAGGGTTTCTCGACCATGCTTCCTCCCTGAGTGTCCTCGTAGCACGTCCAGCCGTCCCAAGTCCGGGGGCAGTGAGGCTCTGCTAAAGAAGAGACGAAAGGAAAAAAATATAGTTCCATGCGTTTGCTCTCGCCCCCCCCCCCCCCACCTCCCCCAAAACCTCCCTTGCAGCAACCGTCCTCATTGTCAAATCCCACAAAAAGAAATGACAGCGAGACCAAAAAATTATACGAGTAGTTGATTCAGGCATAAACTACCAGCGATCTTTGTCAGTTGCAGTCTGAAAACACATACGATGTAATATTTAAGGGGCGATCATTTAAGGGAATACTACATCGAAATTTAGGCGCTTATTTCTTGGTCGATACATGTGCAAGTTAGAAGCATCACATCGTACATCCCAATCTCTCGTTCAAAAAGGCACGAGAACGAATTTTAAAACCAATTGAACGATTAGCAAATGGCACCTGGTGGATGTCGCTAAAGCCTCGTTTGTAATGTCTGTCAAGGAACCTTGACAAGTCGTGACGATATCTTCCCCTCGAAGAACTGTGGAAACAGTGTACTGGAATATGGGGCAGTATTGGGACCGGAGCGGTTCCCGTGAGGCGTGTGGTGTAGGGTCAGTATGGCGGTGGTTGTGCGCATGCACCACGTGCACGAGCACGGGCGGCTGCACGTCCGGGCTGCAGCGACTTTCTGCTTCTCTGTCGACAGTACTGGCGCAATTATTGTCTACAGGCGCAGCTTCACAAGCTCCCATTGAGGAGCCGCGCCGGTCCAAACACTGCACCGTATTCTAGTGCACTGTACCATGGGTGCTAGTATCTGCAGTGTGCGCGTGGACGTAGCCTTTGCAACCTTGTACTTGTACGAACAACTCAAATGCGAATTGTGAAATCCCATCGTCGTGACATTCTTCGGTACCAGTTCGATGACTCCTAGCTTCCACCGTGCTTTTCATGCACGCCATAGAACTTGTCATTCCCCAGTGACGATAAGTTTTGTCAGGGCACTCATTGGCCACGAGCGCAAATCCAAATATTCGTCGGCGGATTGATTGTTGACGAGCGCATACGTCCGAGTGCCACTATTCTCGTGTCCAATCCGTGAGCTGGGCTCGGCTGACGTCAGGTTGGCACCGTTGACGCGCTTTGGGAACCGCGGATGTATCATAGTGAAAAGGCGGAGAGCTTTCCATGGAGAGAGGGTACAAAATAGTCCGCTATGTTTTCAAATGTCCGTACCGAAAAGCTGGCTTTTGACTTTCTACCGTATTTCTTTTGGCCAACTAAACGATATGCGCTTAGTAAAGTCCCAATTTAAAATCATTCATCCCAGTCCAAAATTAATTTCATATCCCCTTTAAGGCCACGGTCCTACTGAATCTGGCAGTTGAAGGGGTATTCACACAGCCGGCACGCGCGCATCACGAGTCGAAAACGCGAGGCTTTTGCACAATGCAAAGCCTGACATTTTCGTCGCGGGGTGCGCGTGCCGTGGTAGGAACGTTTATTTCACTTTTTTGCATTAAGAGTTGCTGCGGTGAAAGGGTTTAGGGTACAGGAGCGGGGCTTCCATTCTTCTCTGTCTGCCCGGCTGGTGCGACGGCGTCAGAGGATAGATGTGCGGTAGGTTCAGGCCTGATGTTTTGCTTGGGCTCAGTGGTGGAGAGCTGAATACCTTGAAGCCGCGTGCCGATAAGGGGAGCTGCGTGGTCCTGAATGTACGGGAGGAGCGATCGCCAGAGTTCGATAGCGGTCACTTTGGGGAAGGAGGGGTCCGGGCAGGCCCAGGCATGCAGCGGGTAGGCCTGAAACTCTGCTGGATGGTAGCCAAGGTGCGGGTTCGGGGCTCCGAGTATAGCGGGCAGTCCCAGAGCAGGTGCTCTAAATCAGCGTTTTTATGGCACAATGAGCATGCACCAGGAGGTCTGGAAGGTTGGTAATGTCATGTCCAAGCATGGCTTGTGTGTGCCTGCCCGCGTGCGTGGATCGAAGGCGGACCTCTTGTGTGTGAAGGTGTGTCTCAAAAAGCTCTGTGAGGTCATTAATGCCACTGCAGCTTTTTAGAGCTGCTAGCGGTGTGTAACGAGGGCATGCACCCTCGTTACACACCGCTTGCAGCAGAGCAGAGTTGTATATGTAGAGAGTTTGGCCATTCGTTGGGACGTATAGGAGACAAATGAGGAGGCGCGATTGGCCGAAAGCGGGCGGGGCGTGTTCCATGGCGTGTTCACAAATTCGAATGTGACCAATCGGAATCTGGAAATAATACCCTGGCGGTGGTCGCGGAAAATACATCCAAAATGATGTTGGAAGAGTGCGACTAGCGGAACGATCGACATAATCCTTACGCCAAGCGCCGAGGGCCGGGAATCTGCCGTCCGAGCGGTCACACTCTATCCGAGCAAAAAAGAGCTGAGCGACGCGTTCGTTTCTAACATCTTTTTGCGTGATCATGATCAAAAGAATACGTGCACCCTATTTTCAACTACGAAGAGTTACTATACTCTACTCTTACGCGCTTAATAAAACCATATACGAACACATACCTTTGATCAGAGCTGTTTCTCGCAACCACCGCTAGGGGATTCATTTCGGTTTCTGTTTGGTTAAGAGAGCATGCCAAGCCCTCTTTCCGAGTCTGGCGCACGCCCTGGCTCTGCCCGCGCCTCCCATTGACCAAACTCCTCTATACACGGCTCCGGCTTAGAGTACCGGCACTCCATTCCCCGACATTGTTGTGAACGCCGCCATTTTGGGTCTTGTGCAGAGCAAACGCAGCTGCCGATCGTCATTATTTAAAAGTGCGACTTCTTCAGCATTACATCCGGTGTCAGGAAGCTGATGCGATATTGTTTCGCTCTGTCGCGGACTGTTTAAACATTTGTGGAGGGCGGAAAAGCGTTTTCTGCGATCTTAGATAAAGCTTCAGATAACTGGCAAGCATGCTTTCAAAGGAGCGATGCAACAATTTTTGTACTTTGCGAAAAGATGATTGCGAAGCAATCATCTTCCGCAAAGTACAAAAATTAAATTGGAAGATGATTGCGAAGCAATCAACTTATAATTTTGATGCATATAGCCGAAGTGACCCGCCTCCCTCGTCGTCAATACAGTGTAACAAATTGGGACGTATGTCTCGAAAATGTTCGCTTCCTTGAGCCGTCAGAGGATATACTAAGAGCTATTCCTGCATGTCTCGTTCCAGCCACATATAAAATATCGTTAAGGATATCTCAGCCGTCCCCGGATTTGAAGTTCGTACGCTTACGTGCTGTTCGCCGCCGCACTCAGCGTCGTGCGTGCCGATCTGGCAAGGTCTGGCATTGGATAGACTGTCGTCGTGTTACATCAGCTTTATTCCGTCATACTCGCGCACTTCGTCGTCGACAATTTCGGCAATTTGCCTCCTCATTAACCCCATGCACACCTAAGCCAAGATATACAAAGTACTGAGAGGTATGGACTGCTCTCCAACACCTCGAGATGTGTTCATCGGCCTCAGTTTTAAAGCTGGCCTTGAATTATCACGACTTGCAGATAATTTTGCGGTGCGCTTCATTGTACCCCAACGTCCTTCTGGATCTCCATATTCTCGATCACTGACTGGTCCTGCACGAAATCCGGAGAGTATGGATCATCCTTTCACTATGGCGGAACTATATGCGGCTCTTTGGAAATGCAAACGCCACAGTGCTTCTGGGTCTGATGGCACTACTTAGCAAGCATTGCGTACCCTGAGTGACAAGTCACGCGTCGTCTTGCTCGAACGCTTAAATTTGGCGTGGACTACTGGTATTCTTCCCCAAAATTGGAACTATGCTGCAGTAATCCGCATTTTAAAACGAGGCAAGCTTTCGTCGGAATTGTCATCGCCTTGCCCTTATGACCTTCTGTGCTGGAAAACTTGTAGAACGCTTGGTGCTTACGCTTCTTTAGTGGTACCTTGACAATATTAAAGCATTGCCACCTGATATAGCGGGATTCAGAAGTGGGCGCTGCTCTGCTGACTGTATTGCGAGCCTTACATTAGCGTTGGAAGACGCTTGTTCACGAGGAGACACTGCTTTGGCAGTGTTTCTTGATGCTGAACGTGCTTTTGACTCGGTTCAACATGATATAGTTCTTGCCTGCTTGAATCACCTTGGCATAACAGGAGGAGTGCTAAAATACTTCTAAGAGTTTCTCAGCAACAGGACAATTAGTGTTTCCATGCGCAAGAATACGGGAGCCGTGCATCCACTGTTGTGTGGGTTACCTCAAGGTAACCCACGCAACAGTGGATGCACTGTTGCGCTATTTATCATCGTAATGACAATACCTTTATGCATGCATAAATCAGCACACCCTAGTGGTATTATCATTTATGCAGATGACATCTATTTGTGGGCTTCCCATCCTGATCGACGCGTTCTACGTCCCTTTATGCAAACATCTCTCGCGCGTGTTGCAAACATGCTAGAAGATCTCGGACTTTCCGTCTCAGCGCAAAAAACAGCGGTGCTCGCTTGTTCCCGCCGCCCCTTCCGTCATGGATCTCGACGGCTTACTTTACGTAGGACTCAAGTACCGCGCGTGTGTAACTATCGATACTAGGGGTCGATCTTGATTCCCGATTATGTTGGCGTCGACACGTTACGGATCTTGTACGTCACACGGCGATGACGACATCTCTTATTCGTCGACTTCGTGAACTTGAGTGGGGATAGGCCCCTAAAGCCCTACTATTCGTGCACCGGGCGCTTAACCTTTCCCGCATTCTTTATGCGGTGTCATATTTGCCGCCTACGCAATCTCTATGGGATCAGCTGGAACGATGCCACCGAGCCCGAATAAGAATGGCTCTTGGCTTTCCCTCCTACTCCCGAATCGATGCGACGTGGACTGAGGGCCGAGAGATGCCGGTAGCTTCGTACGCTGTGAACCGTGCTCTTAAACATGTCGCTCGGCTTGCTGAGTTGACCAGTGGTCTCTCGCTGTTCACTGACATTCAACAGCGTCATCTTTCACAATATGGCGGTCACTGCACCTCTCTAGTTGAGGCTCTCGGCTTCATAACCTCTGTCCATTCTCCTCC